CAAAATATAGCAAATATATTTAGCATATACCAAAAGCAGTTAAAAGATAGGAAGTTCCTTTCCTTTGGACATCAACTTTTAAAAACAGGAACAACTTTTTGAAAAGTGAATTTATAAATCATACAAAATGGGATGCATATATAACATTGACATGCAATTTTTCAAAAGATACTGGTTTTAGCTGTTTCCAGGTTTATGCGAGGTGACAAAAGCAGTCTCTAGTATGTCGATCAAGAAAACATGCAATTGTTGGCTACTACACATACGTATAGAAAATAAAGACGAGAGTCCAGCAAAACTTACAAATTTGTTAACTTCTCACTCTCCAGATATTTTGAGCATATCTAAAAAATTTAAACAGACAGGATAACACTATGATCTTAAAGGGAACTCTAAAAATAACACAATATTATGGAATAGTGGAAACTGAGTTGCTAAAACTGAAACAGTAAACTATTCTCTTGACATCCTCAAACCCTTAACTAAAACCCAAACAGATTAATTCTACCAGCTAAATTTAATCCAAGAGTTGACTTCTAAATGCCAACACTGTCAAACTTCTTTTAGTAACATTTTAAAACATACATGAACTTAAAACATTACTTAGAGGTTAATAAAATTTCTTTGAATATGGGCTTTGGGCTGACTTGCAGAACACTGGGGAAATAGATAAAAAAACTAAATTAGTGATTTTCTTTGTTTTTAAGTACTTACACTACTAAATAACATGACTGAAAAAACATTTTTTCGTGGTGGAAGCGTCAGGTGGATGACTCTTCTTTGAGGGTTACAATGAAAAAGGACTCATATTTAATTAAGGAGGAATGGCACTGATTTGGGTCAATAAAAACCTGAAGTCAACTAAAATTTCTAAAATGTGATATAAAATTGAAGAGAATATCTCTTGGTGTAGAAGATACAGGACATTTTCACAAGGAAGTTTCATAATAGCTAATTTTTTGTTAAATCTAAAGAGTTTGTAACATATACATATGTGTATCTTATTTCATAGAAATAAGAGGCAGTGATTCAGAGATGGTTAGATTCAACAACTTCTGGTTCAGTGAAATAGAAGTCCAAATGTTTGGAATTAAATAACCCACTACTCGCCGAAAATCCACAAAATATTCACACCGGATAGACCAAGATTAACTCTCCTATAAAGAGGGGAAAAAAAAGTTTTAGCAGAATTGCTTTCCAAGCATTTTAAATCTTTTTCCAATAACTGAAACAAGAATCTTTATAAAAGTAATACATGTTTAACTGATGACATTTAATGTGATTCTGCAATGAATTAAGTTATACACAGTTTAACGGGTCAATCTAGTAACAGTAATTACTTTCTTAACTGTGCTTAAAACCCAAATTTAGAATAAATAGATTTATGAAGTGTTGAAAATTAATTTTCCAGTAAACTTCAAAAACTACTACACCAGGTAATAGAGAGAGCTAATGAAATAATTTTAGCAAGTAAGATTCAAAGAATCAATTAAATTTAAAAAATGAAGGATACAGAGATGCTAGGTCTCTTGGAGAGCTACACCTACTTGACTTGAATTAGGCATTTACAAATTATTAGGGATGCTTTAATGAGTTTGCCTGTATTAATACATCTTAAACTAAACCATATTGTATATAGCAACAAAAAAACCCTACTTCTCCTCCAGAGACTAATATGTTGTATTCAAAATAAACTGTACTCAAAATCTAAGGGAAGGAGAAGAGGGCTATAAGAGAGAGTAATTACCCATCTAACAAAATGAGAAATTGACAATATCCAAAACTGAAGAATCAAGGGATGGCTGCGTATC